AACCCTTACCAGATTGGTTACCTTCCTGCTTTGGGCATGGCAGGTTTTGATCCCTTATCTCAAAACCACAGGCAAGTGTGCATCTTGAAATTCATCCTTTTCCTTTTTCTTTATGTGAGACCATGCTCTGTGGAGTGCTGGTAGAGATGTGAGAAAGCAAGCTTGGGTTTCCATCCACAGCATTCTCCTTGGCCGGGACCACCTGTGGTGGTGGGGACCTTGCCTGAAGCTAGGCCTTTACCTCAGCTGAAGGTCCATGGAGGAAGCCCTGAGAACTTGGGCTGGTGCTGAGAGGCACCACTTCACAGTAGCATCAAAGAGGGCTGAAGGTTGTTGTTAAAATGCTAGGCTTGGTTGGAGGTAGCAAAGTGAATTTTGACTGGGCCATAACAGAGGAGGCCTTTTTCACTCCCTCTTGGCCTATAAATTGACCTGGGTCATGTTCTAGACTCCCCTTGCCACATAAGCTTTGCAAAGATCCAGCTTTGAGATCCTTAATGGATTTGTTGGCCAAGTTTTGCAGATGCTGATTTTTAATCCTGTTAGGTGAATGCATTTATTTCATAATTGAATTGCAAAGCACTTGGCTGTATTTTCAGTAAAGTACTCCTAACTTTATCCCAAGTCTTGTTCCTTGATCAACCTCATTTCTAAATGAGGGATATTTTGGAGGCCATTTATGTTTTGGAACTAGTTAGAATAAATAGGACTCACTATAGAGCTTGTATGGGAATTATACAATTTTTAAGAAGAGGAAGATAATGCTGGTAGAAGTAGCTTCTATGCTAGAGCTCTGGCATGAACTGTAGATTGTATGTTTTAGATTCTGGGTTTTCTGAAATGAGGCTTGATCACTCGATCAAGCCTCCAATACTCGATCAAGCTTCCAATACACATCAGCTGCCTTTTTAAAAATGGCTATCTGAACCATGAGTTCATGGTAATTCTTGGAAGATTCCTGTCCTAAGAGTCTCTTCTGAAAGTATTACGCCTTTCTCCAGGGGAGCTGGTTGCTATAAAAGACAGCTACACCAGGTTGTATGTGTACACTAGCATGTCCAAAGAGCAATGTTTTTTTAAGTCTTGACCTTCAGAAGGCCCTTTATCCAGGGCTCAGGTTAACACTTGTGCATTTTGGGTTGCAATGACGGAACATTAGATCAGAAAAAGGACAAATAGGGAGCTGATTCATAAATCAGCACAGGTTGATTTTGTTTGTGTGTGCGAAAGATGCATGCTTGAGTTCACTGAAGAAAAATAAGGTCTCACTTTGAAAAATCCCCAAGGAATTAGATATAGGACTTTCTGCCATCTTCTGTCCTATAGTTGACTGGGTAAGATTGTGGCTGCATTTGTTTTAACTTTTGGAGGCCGGAGAATGAGCACAGGTCAAGTGCCATGGTCAGTCATGGTAGCTTTCTGATGTCCAAACATAAAAATTGGCTAGGGCTTGGGTTAGTCTCTCAGTAAGGGCTGCCCTTGCTCAAGTAATGAAAAACTGGGCTTTGTTAAAACATGTATTTTAGATGATGCTTCTCAACTTACTGACACATTGATGTGTCAATATCTCTGTACAAGAGGAGCTGATGGCAATCCTAATTGACAAGAAGATCAGGTGAGCAGAAGGAAGTTGGGGTTCGGCTGGGGTTGTTAAAGCAAGTCCTGGTTTGTGGTCTTTGCATGATCATGTCTCATATACCTGCTGCTCTGTGGTTCCGTGTTGGCAAGACCAACCTCCTTGGGCATTTTCATCCTCTGCAAGGGATCTGCCTACTACTGTGCGTGATGAATAGGTGAATAGCCTAGTCTGTAACTCAGTGTACTAGTGCAGTGCTGTTTTCTTAAGTGGCAGGTTTGCAGTGTCCATGATTGTAATGGAAGAAGAATGGAGATAGGTGAGCTCAGCAAACATCAGCAGCAAAAGCAGCCCTTCCATAGGGTCAAGATCATCTGAATTGACTTTTGCTTAAGCAACAGCAACCCTTTTTTTTTTTTGTTTCCAATTCTTTGTTTCACTTGGGTCCCACCTAGCGGAGAAATTTCATGTTGCTATTCAATGTGTTGAGTATGTAAAGCATTGTGTTAGTGTTTTCTGAAACAAGTGATATTTTTGAGCAATTATATTTTATGATGCAAAACATTTTGCACTGCCTTTCAAAATAAATGTGTAACACTTCAAATACTGCAACATTTTGAAACTTATCTTGAAATGGACATAGATTTTTGCCGATTGATTTTATTATTTTGCTTACTGTCAAATCTGAGCTGCTGAAAAGGAACATTTTCCCCTCAGACAATTTATTAAAGCCATAACAACAACAAACCAGTTATTTTTATAGCTCTTTGAAAAAGTTGTCTGTTGAACAAGTGCAAAAGAGTTCAGTACTTCAGGTCAAACTTTGGACTGTTTGATTGCCAGATGTCTATTAATCAGTAAAGGAAGTTTTTCAAACTCTGTGTGGGAGAGAACCTAAAAGGAAACATCTTGGTACGATTTTAATGTTAGCCCTTTAATTACATAATATAATACAATTAATGTTTTCATCCTCAGGGAAGAAAATGCACCATTTTGATGATATGAAGGTGAAAGTAAAACATTTGGAATAGAAAAGAAATTAATCAGACAATAGTAGATTATAATCCAAACAGTGGATTATAATTCAAGACTAGATCTGATTCTGATGAATAGGATAAAGTTTTTACTTTTATATAATCCCTTCAGTTAGTTTTCTTATTTCCTTTTGTTGATAAACTCTGAAAGTCCTTGATCTGCATGTGCTCTAGACCTACGCCACTTGTTTGTTATGGAAAGAGCATTTCTATCCTTGGAAATATTAAGAGCTTGACTAGACGTGACCATGAGCATCTGATTTAATTCTGAAGTTGAATCTAATTTCAAGGTTGCCCTGCTTTGAACAGGGATCAGACCAGATGGGATCAGGAGGATCTTTCCAACAGAGCTTTTCCTGTGATTTTGTGTGTGTGTGTATATATATATGTGTACACAAGCAAGTACTGAAAGAAGGTAACCCCTCAACTCCAAGACATCTTTTTCACTGACAAAATCAGTATGAAATTTGTTTAGTACTCCTGCTGTATTAGTGAGTAAAAAAATGATAGTCTGTTATATTGGTTTTCCAAAGCGCAGAAGTATAAAAAATTAGTTATATAGCAGCCAGGCCATTTGAATAAGGGGCTCCTGCAAGTTAGTTTAATTTTCCATTAGATATTGATTTCTTGGAGGAAAAAATTGTGGAAACAAGCTCAAAGCCTTGCCTGTGTGCACAGCAAAAAGTGACCTGCAGTAGCTGGGCAGAGGTAGTGGCCTAAAGCAGGGCAGAGGCAGGATGTGGGTCTCTCCACCATCCTGTCTTGATCAGTCTTTGCCAATAAACATCCTGCTATTTCCACAGTATTTCTTTTCCTCTTTCTGTCTGTTTTACTTCATCTTCTCCTTTTCTCTTCTAGTTGCTGTTGTCTAGGAAAGACATTTAAATTCTATCTAAATCCTTTCTCAGTGGTCAGAATTTATGTTCTGAAATATATGGTCATCAGAAAAGAAAATATTGTTTGGAGAGAAAGCCTCCTAGGAGACATGATGTATTACTCTATCTTGATTTTTCTGCTGTTCAGTATGCAATCACAGAGCCACTCCAGCTTTTGCAACAGACTTAAGAAGCTTTGAAAGTTAAGTGGATTTTGACAGCAGTTCAAAACTGAAATTATAGCTGGTATTTCTTCAGTGCAATCTCCAAGGGTTTGGTGATTCTTAGATTCAGGCATTCATCTGTGAAGCCTGGAAATGTTGCAATCTAATGCTCACCCACGATGAGAAAAAGTTGTGCAAGTGGATGAAAATGGCTTTGTAATGGGTTAAAGGAACAATGTAATTGGGAAATGTATAGAGACCAGAGTTTAGGCTGTTGCTGGTATAAATGAGCATAACTCTGTGCTAACTCACAGATTTACTCCATCTTTCAGCATCCGTGCATGGGACATTGGAGCAGTGAGGAAGTTACTAGTTATACTGCTGGAGATGAAAATAAATGCAGAAAGCATGGTTGGCAGAGTTGAGGATCTTTCTGCCAAGAAGCTCAGGTTCTGGCCTACTGACTAAAGTACCTTCATTTTTCCTTCCTTCAGATCCTGAAGCTCAGGGTTTAAAGTAGCCCGGTATTTAGGTGTAATATTTGAATGGTAAGGAGCATAACACTAAAACAGAAAATAAAAATTCTGGCAATTATGTTTCATTACAAAGGAGCTTTCAATTAGAAGGAACATAATTAATACCAGCTATACACAAGATTTCCTCAGTACTTCAGCACAGAGGGTCACTGTAAAGCAGCATGAAATAGTGTTTCTGGAGGTGGTTTTCATTTGAAATGAAAATGAAATGTTTATACTCAAAATGGACAAACAGTCATGCAGAATAATAAAACAGCAGTGGCTCATGCAACCCTCTTCTATTCAGTGGCTTCAGTAGCTTCCCCTGACTTTTCTGCCAAATGAGGTCAAAGATAAAATATACCATGAAATCCCTAAAAGCCAGGATTGAAAGTTGAGTTGTCTCCCTTGATAGCCAATCTCCTTTATTTCTTCCTTTCTCTTAGCAGTACAGCCAGGTCTGGAGATCATCCCTAATGATATGACTCCAGTGGAGAGGTACAGCTACATACATGATGTATTCATGTCATTTATGAGCATTAACTTGAAAATTGGCTTTTTGGTCCCAGGGACATATCTTTTAAAACTGGACAGAACAAGGTGTCTTCAGTGTCTTGATTGATGGTCGGCAGCCAAGTCGATGGAGACCAGCCAGGGGGAGAGCAACAGAAAGTGGTTTTTACAAATGTCTCCAAATGCTGTTGTTTCTTCCAAATGCCTATGGTTTGAGGATTTGTGGTACAAATGGGCCTTTTTACCTCCTTTCTTGTACTCCCCTTGCTGAGATAGCTTTCTGTCCTGGTTTTGCTTTGCAGACACCTACATTGGGACACCAGAGATGATTTATCTGGGCATCCTCAGAAAGGAAAGGAACAGTCTTCTTCCTCTACATGCTACTTAGCTGTTACAACTTTTGCATCCAAACTCAAGTCTGTTGCTCATTTTGCAGCTCTGGAGAGTAGTCTGCCTACCTGTGTTACTGAGGAGCGCTGTGATGGATTTCCCTCTAGTGATGAAATATGTCAACTGCAGATTATTCCACAAATCTAAGGTTCTGGTACAGTAAAATTACATGTTTCTTCTTTCCTTTCAGAGATGTTTTGAGAGGGGAGGAAAAGAGAATAAGATATTTATTGGATCTGGAATACTATGAAATCAAAGCATAAACAACGGGACTCTTTACTATTGGGAAAAAAAAAAGAAAAACAAAAAGAAAAAAACACCCAACCCTTTCCAGATTTAACACAGAGTTGTACATTAAATATACATTCTCACTAGGTTTGGTTACTCTGGAGAAAATCAATATTTCTGAAAGGAAAATGAGTAATATTATGCATTTTCTGGTAGAATAGACAACTCTAGTCCTTTTCTTTGGGTTTAGAAAATACCTTGTCTTCTCTAGGCCTGGCCCTATTTTCAGACTTCTCACTTTGTACCAAGATTTTAAAATTGTATCAGAAATAGAGCCTCCAGGGCTCAAAACCTGCATATTATATTTGCTGTGGATTCGTCTAATTTTGCACAGCCAATGAAGGAATTATTTACTTAATCTGAGTGCAAAATACAATAACCTATCTTTTGCTGTTATTACTTTCTATACAACTGTCACTTTTAAAATCTAGAGTGTGTGTTACTGAATAATTTTGAAGTTATTGGTTATTTTCAAATAAGCTCAGCAGTAGAAATAAGTTTTGGAGTTATTAGAATTTGACACTGCCTGTCACTAAATTCAGCCACTAGTGCCTGCTCTGAGGCAGCAGTGTGTGAGCAGTGTCCATAGGCACACAGAGTGCCGTGAGAAGCTGATGTGCCTTCTGCCCAGCCATACCTCTGCTCATGCCATATTAGCAAGTGGGCATTCTACACCTTGCTCGAGGCGTCTGTTATGTGGATTTTCTTGGATGGAATAAGGGGAACAGGGCTAGAAGTCACAATTTTTGAGAAACTGGAGATAGGGATGGAGATAGAGATGGGGATAGAGATAGGTGCTATGGTTGGGCAGCAATCATTGACTACCATCACTGCACAGGGTGCAACCCTTTCTCTACTGCAAGAAGAGATCAAAGGACATTAGGGAGTGGCAGGCCAAACAGTGCCACACTAATGCAACTAGGACAGGAAGCAATGGAGGAGGCTGTGCGAGTTGTTCTGGAGCAGCCATAGCCAAAGCTCTTCAGGTTCAGATGAATGCCTATCTTTAGGTGTAATTTCTCCTGATGTTTGAGTAGAGTGTAGACTAACTGACCTCTTTTGGTCTTTAAGAGCCTTAGGGTCAAAGAAATGATGTTTCCTGTGGTTCAATCAGAATGTCTGATCCCTGAGGCAGCAGGCTTGCATTGCGGTCCCAGACTGACTCATGTAAAGAGTCAATAAAAAATGAAGCGTAGGGAAACAGAGCATCTCTAGCCCTGGTTAACATGACGACTGCAGAGAACAGAGTGATTATAAGATGGTTTAGACACCAGAATTTGTAAGGAGATAAGTCACTAAGTTGCTACCCTTGAAAACCATGGATAGTCTGCGTTTGCCTTAACAGCATGTGTCTTTATGAGAAATACTTCCTTGTATATTAATATCCTTAGTTCTGTTCTGCAGGAGAGGTTCAATGCAAAGTGTTAACGAGGGGTCAGCAATGAACAAATCTGTGGGTGCCCCTGAACATACTGTCACCACTGGGTAAACCCTGCCCCATGCTTGTGTGTCCATTGGGACAAACCAAACAAGGCAAAGCAGGGCTGAAGGAACCGCAAGTTTTCAGACACCTCCCTGAGACATAAGCCGCATAGTTTTGGAGGGTAACATTCAGCTCTGGTAGGGGAAGTCCACATGTGACATGTCATTATATATCTTATCCTCCTTTTTCCTGTTCCTTGATCTTTTCAGCTGCTCTTTTATAACCCTTTTTGCACTCAGATGAACAGCCCTAATCACTCTGCTCACTGCTCCCGGTTTTGCTGTGTTCACCTTCAATTTTGCTATTTGTTTTACAGTTACTGAAATTGTTTCAGCTTTACAGGGCATAATTGAGGTGTTTTCCTTAGCCCCAGAGTTCCCATACAGCTGGCTGTTGCATTTGGGCATTTCTCTTGCAACACTGCCTTGATCACTGTGAAATTCAGCCACACCTCTGTGCCCCCACTTACTTTTGTAGGTTCATCTCACTGTCATCTGCCAACTCCAGCCATTTTCGCACGTCCTGTTCCATTCACATCAGTGTAGGCCAGGGACCAGCTGCCCACATGCAACCCCAACACATCGTTTCATTTCTTCCTTCCTCTTTGCTCCTTCAGCAATCTGCCTCTCCCCCAGTCTCCATCTGTCTCCACATGCATTATGCACTTACTATTTAATGTGACTGCATACACAGAATACTTGGCATGTGCAGAAAGACAAGCTTAACAGATATTTAAGGAGCTTCTGTTGATTTCATTACGTATTTTGAAAAGCAGTTTTCTGCAAACCTGGTAAGGGGTTGTGGGAGGAGGGACATATGGTTGCCAGATGCAGAATCATAGAATCACAGAATTGTAGGGGTTGGAAGGGACCTCCAGAGATCATTGAGTCCAATCCCCCCTGCCAAGCCGGCTCCCTACGGCAGGCTGCACAGGTAGGCATCCAGGCAGGTCTGAATTTCTCCAGAGGAATCCACAACCTCCCTGGGCAGCCTGTTCCAGTGCTGTCTTGCTCACTGTGAAGAAGTTCCTTCACGTATTGATGCAAAACTTCCTATGCTCCGGTTTATGGCCATTTCCCCTTGTCGTGTCCCCACAGACCGCTGAAAAAAGGTTGGCCATGTCGCTTTGACTCCCACACAAGATATTTATAACCATTCATCAGATCCCCTCTGAGTCTTCTTTTCTCAAGACTGAACAGACCCAGGTCACCCAGCCTTTCCTCATAAAACATACAGTGCATTGTAGTATTTTTTTTTAAGATAATTTTGAAGTTCAGATTTGTTGCTCTTGGGAACACATAATGCTCACAGCAAAACTATTTTCCAAAGCTGGAAAGGGTGCAGAATCTGAGAAATAATCTACATGACTTCAGGAAGACCTAAAAATCATTAAATATTGAAACGAATCTCTCTGAGAATCTTAATTATATTTAAAGAGCAATTCTTCTCTTACGCATGACAACAGAAACGGTTTATTCTGCGTCAATAAATCTGCATGCAGGCTGTATGTGACATCACTTCTGCATATTTTAGAAATTAAAATAAATGATTTCTGTCTTTTGGAGTTGTTAGCGTCACAATGCTGATATAAAATGATCCTTCTGTAATTAGATCCTCTTCATTCCCTCTGATGAGATCAAACCCTGAAATGTTAATTTGAGATATATTATCATACAAACCTTTGGGGCTCCTTGCATTTCTTTTCAGCTGCATGTTAAATGCATGTCTTCCCAGCTTTGTTTCCAATAACTGGGGATTTTTGTGTAAAAATTCCCTAATGTAGGCAAGACCTGTAAGCTAAGAGCCAAACTCAAGTAATTTTCTTTCCTGCAGATGTGCTTGGAACAAGAATTGATGTTATTTTGCAATCAGGAAGCCAATCAAAAATCTCTCAAGACGCTTCACAGTTTTCCGTATAGTGAAAACAGCTTAATGAAGGACATAGTCAGTGATGTGGGAACATGAAAACTGTCCTGTGAGACTTCAATTACTGAAGATACAAAAGAGGGAAAAAGAAAATGGACCAAAAATTCAACTTAATTTAGCCATTATCTGGCAGGCTTTGCAGTGCTGACAACGTAAGATCTTGTTGACCTTGTAAACCAAGCACTTTTAAGATGCACTTGACAGACAGTGCAGGTACATATCCTCATTGCCATACCTGTTTAAAGGTGTCTGTTCACAACAGATTTTCAGGTTCAGGTGTATATAATCCTAAATTAAAAACTACTTCAGAAATTATATTTGAGTAGATTTTTATTTATTTTTCCTTTCTGATTTGTACATAACAACTGATTTATGTCTATAACTTTATTTAACATGCCTATTCAATGCTGTGTGGTTTTGATTTCTTTAAGGCAAGTTCTCTTCTAACTGTTTTGACTTACGGCACATAGTTGCATTTCTTAAATCAGGAGATCCAGATGAACTCCTGAATGCTTCACAGCTTTCCATTTTACCAGCAAGGTGCTGAAGTAGCCGTGCTTGGCACGTCGATAACTCCTGCATTAGGGAATGACAAGAGGAACAGACACAAAACCTGTAGAGAAATACAAGCAGCAAGCTGCTAAATGCCTTTTACTGGACATTTATGTGTGTCAGAGCACTATAGAACAAATAAAACTGACTGTAAAAATAAGCAGCTCCTGGAGATGAGTGGCTCATCACTACATCTGTTCTGGCAAAGGGTGCAAAACAAAGCAGCACTGAAATGTCCCAAAATAATTAATCATGACCTGTTCAGCTGGTAAGATCCCAAATTCTCCTCATCTAAACTCACTCCTGGTAAGTAAGCTGAGAAATGTGACAGACTTCACCAGGAAAGTAGCTCCTGTAGCAAAGGAAAGGGTCTATTCATTTTCTGATAGTAACATACAAAGGGATAAAGAATAATCCTTTTTGTGTCCCCAGAAGTACCAAATCAATCCCATTCAGAAGCAGGCCATCAATTCTCTCTCTTCAGGATTGATTCTCTCCCATTACTTGCTTGGTGCTATCTCAGGCCTCAGCTGCAGCTAGAAGTGAGCCCTGGGTTTTATGGCAAAGTTAGTACACAATCAAAATTTCTGTAGTGTGAATGTTTATTAATTCCTAGAATTTTATCTTTTGAACAAAGAATGCATTATTTGATGCAGGATAATGTGCAGACTTTCCTGTAGACTTCTTGCCAAGAAGGCCATACCAAAATATGTGTTTTGCCAGATCTGTGCTTTTTCTGTCATGCAATTATTTGGCTGCTATGAATCTGGTCACATTTGACTGCATTCTTTCTTGTCATAAGTCTAAAAGCTCAGACAATAGGTAGTGCTGTCCTACATTTTCATTATTGTATGTATGTTTTAAATTAAAGAAAAGGACAAATAGAGGAATCCAAGAAAGTAAGAATTTCTGGATTTGCAGCTCCTCAGAGTTACAGAATTATTATTGGTAGGAACAGGCTGGAGAGGGACAAGCTGCCCTCCTTGCATTCGTTACATCAGGGAAAGATGCATAGGGTTAAGCACCACCGAAGACAAGATCCTCTTCTAAAGTGTTGCTTTGTTCTGAATCAATACAGCTTCTGCTTGAACTTTTCCCTTTATTCTGAAGGGGGAAAAAAAACTCATTGCTGCGAGAAGTGGATGAGGACAAAGCCCTGAGCAACCCACTCTGACCTCAGAGGTGGCCCTGCTGTGAGCAAGAGTTGGACAGGGATGCCCCAGCTGTTTTCCAGCTGACAATATCCTGTGATCCCAAATGGCATTTTCCTTATTAATGTGAAAGTACTCTTCAGGCGTTTATTTGAAAATAAGCTATATGATAAAAATTATGTGAGGTTAACTTTGGACAAAAGAAAGTTCATTTGTATATAGTCAACGGTTAAGAACTTTCTCACCTTTTAGGAAGATTACATTTTCTATGAACTCCAATTAAATAACTTCCGGTGACCTAATGCATTTTGGGCATAAGAATCCCCTAATTTTTTCCTGCTCTTATTTAGTGGTTTCTCAAGGAAAAAAGATCTTCCTGCTTTAAATTTCTGGGAAGTCCCTTGTTATTGTTCACAAACATGCTGCAGATATTTTAATCGTAAATTATTTTCTCCTTAGTTTCCGTTTCATTTGTTTTCTTCTACCATTTCTTTGGCTATTGGTAGTGCTGGCTCTCAGTCTGGGATGTGTGAACTTCAGACTATTTCCATGGAAGTCTGTCTGTCTCCCCAATAACATATTGGACCTAATAGCAGAGTTTGCAGTTCTGTAGTACAGCTGAAGCTGAAATCCTGTACATGTGTACAGCAGCTCTCTGCAACATACACTCCCTTTGTAAACAACTGAATCGTATTTTCACATGTGCAGACCTAAATAAATGCATGTGGACGAAAAGCTGTGGTGAAGAGACTGAGAAGTCTCATTTATCTGAGAGGAACTGGTGCCTGCAGGGCAGAGGAAAGGTGATACTGCAGGGGAAGGGGATACATGTCCCGGGAAGGGCATTGCACATCTTATAGCCTTATTTGGAAGCTGTTTTCCCATTTTGGAGTCTGTAACCAGGAATGTAAAAAGTGATGCATGATAGACAAAAGCACTATGAAATGTTATATCTGCTTTCTGTAAAGATCAGCCAAACAAGTTGGGTCATGAACAGAAACAAAATATTGCTGGTTCAGAAAAACAACCACAGAAATTGTATTTTCAGCTACCTCATCTATTTTTCACGCAGGATAAAGTGCCTGTCACTGCAGTGCTGCCAGGTAGCGTGAAACATCAGATAACCAGGAAGTGGTTTCAAAGCACAGACATAATTCACAGGTCTAAAATTTTATGCGGTGAGGAATCCCAAAGAAAATGGAGCACGAGTGGAGCTGAGGCAGCAGGTGTCAGTGTGCACCCTGCAGCCTGTTGATGTGAACCCTCCTGCTGTGAGCAGACCTCAGGTCTTCTTCTGCACATCCTGAATTCTAAAGAAACCACAAAAGGAAACAAGATTTTCCATTTCCAGGGAGGAAATGAGCTTAGAAATTTTCTGTACTTCTGCAAGAAAGCAGAAAGCCAAGCTCTACTTCCTTAGAAACTGCCACATGTTGTTCACACACGTGCTATGGCCCATTGTACTCTCACTGAACCAAACCAATGAAGATTAAGCAACCAAACTTTGAGATACAGATATCCCTTATCCTGGCTACCTGATATAAAAATGAAAATCTGAAAGCATCTAACCTATTTTTCCTACTTTATTTCCTTGTTTACTCTTTGAGTTTGGTTAAACTTGGGTAATAATCTCCTCTGTCTGATGATCAGTGGTAGAACCCAAGGGAACAGCATGGAGCTGTGACATGGGAAGTTCAGGTTGGATATCTGGAAAAGGTTCTTCACCAAGAGGGTGTGGTTGAGCACTGCAACTGCCTTCCCAGAGAAGTGGTCATGGCACTGATCTTGCAAGTTCAAGCAGTGAATGGACAGTGCTTTTAGCCGTATGGTCTGATTATTGTGTGGCCCTATGTGAAACCAGGAATTGGACCTTGTGATCCTTATAGGTCACTTCCAACTTGATATACTCTATGATTCTGTTTAATAAAAATGAACTTTTATTTCTCTTCTGATTGTAGACTTCTCCTTTACAGTTAATTTTAATTTTTGTGTGTTTAGAGCAGGGCTAGTCTTTTTTGAAGACATAACCATAAATCTGTTTCAGTAGTCAAGTAATTTAACTGAGATTCTCTGTTTACTAGTTTGTAGAGTCTGACAGTGATAAAAATCAGAGCGTATTGAAGCATAATTCAAAACGTAAGGAGATAAAGTAAATAAAATGCTTTTAAAGAGGCTTGAATCACAGTTTGTGTATTCAAGGCAGTATTATGGTTTGTGACATAACAAAATAACCATTTTTAAAAAAATCATATTTTAGAATTACAGAATATCCCGAGTTAGAAGGAACCTACAGGGATCATCAAGCCCAACTCCTGGCTCCACACAGGACCACCAGGACAACAAATCAAACACTATGACTGAGAGCACTGTCCAAATGCTCCTTGAACTTAGACAGCTTGGGGGCATGATCACTGCCCTGGGAGCCTGTTCCATGCCCACCACACTCAGGTGAAGGAACTTTTTTCATAACACCCAGCTTGACCCTCCCTTGATGCAGCTCCATACCATTAAACACAGCTTCATACCACAGCTTCATGTCAGCATTGATAAAACTCAATTTTTAAGTTGCTTTTTTTTTTTTCTCCCCAGAGTTTTAAATTCTAAGTTTAACAAATATAGATTTATTCTCTAAATCATAACATTAGTTCCCTCTGGAGATTCTTCTTTCCCAGAGTTTTCAGTACAGCAACAAAACAAAACAATAAAGATTTTCTGTGTGCCTTGTGCACGACCCAAAGGTACATCAAGAGACACCAGTCCTACAGGGACACAATGATTTTGGGAACAGCTGATACTAGAGCTAAGAATTCTATTAACATATAAAAACATACCACATCATGAGAGATCCTGAAACCATTTTCCTTTAAAAATAGGCCACGGAATTACTGATATTCTAGAATAGATAAGTTCAGGAGTGTTATGTTTACAGATCATCACTAAGCTCTAGAGCTCTAGAAAGAATAGTACAGTAATTATTGATTATAGTAACTATCAAAATATCACGTACAAAAGTCTGAAAACGAGATACCATAAGCCCTAGTAGTCCAGGCAGTCACCCAGAGGCAGCCAGTTCTATCACAGGTCATTAAGGAGCGCACAGGTGAGTACCTCAAGTGCTGAATATTGCTGTCAATTAACCACACCAGGAAACCTGGCCCCTTCCACTCCTGCAGGGAAGTGTTAACAGGGCAAGTTGGAGCAGCAGAGAGTAGGGAAGCCAGTTCTTTGGGAAACAGGATGGGATATTTTGAATTTATGGTATGTGAATAAATCAGTAATGTGTAAAAATGCAACTGCTGCTGCTAATTAGAGATAATTACTGAATATGGCTGCTCCTTCTCATAAGAAAGCAATTCCTGGTATGCTTTGTTCATCATCGCTCAGTTGCAAACTGGAATCAGAAGGACCAAAAGGCTGGGAGGCAACAGAGCATCATGCATGGGATACAAAGTTTGAGTCTTTACTCTAAAATTACTTCTCTCTAACATCTGTGTTTGCATATCTCACTTCTACTGGTTCTTTTCTGATGGATGTCATTTCCTGATGTTTGTTTTATAGCTGTTCAGCACTTTTATTACCCTACCATCTGCTCTAAGCAATTAAAAATGCTTT